CAGTAGGGAAAGCTGTGGAAAACAAATCAGATTGTGAACTTTAAATCTCAAGTTTAAAATAATAATAATAATAATAATAATAATAATAATAATAATAATAATAATTCCTAAAGCCTCTATAGCACTTTTCTGATACATTTCTATTCTAAACAATGGGGATGGAATTCTTTTTCAACACAAGTGTTAGGATTAATGGTGTGGTTCAGGCTATGTTCAGGACTTTAGGATTTTTTTACTGACATGAAAATACTCTACAGCAGGCTATTATCAATTTTTTGTCTTTCTATCAACATGTTTATAAAGATACTGAGCACTATTGGGTTCACTACTCATTTATTGTGTTTTACTACCTCTCAATATATACTTTTTTTTATAAATTTATAAAAGGTGCTTTTAATGAACCAAACCAACATCAATTGCTCTTTTTTAAGGTATGGGGTATTAAACCTTTTCATTTTCTATTCGACAGTGCTAGGAACAAGCTGTTAAATAATAAAGGCAAAATGACTCATCTTCTGTTTGCAGATGAAAATGTAGAAAATGTGAGATTGACTCACTGGAGTCAATGAAAGAAAAAACATGAGACGGCGAGTTGCACAATGTTTGTGGGGCTACTTAAAAGAGTCTTAAAAGATAGCTTTTCCTGGCCAAAACAGCACAACTGAGTTCTGTGTGAAACGAGCTTCAAAACAACAGCAAATATCAATGGACAGCGTAGAAATGAATACTGCTGCATGTAGACTGTTTTGGAGCAAAAACAGTATGTTTTTCACTGGAGTTATGTGTTTTTTCTTATTCTTTATCTTGTTCATTACATATTAAGTGTCACAGGAAATAACACAACAACATATCTGTGATGAAAAGGATTGCCTTTTTAATAAATTTCAAGCATAATTTTTATTTGTAAATATTATGAGCTACTATATGCCTTGTGCTTCACAAAACTGTAATATATTTATTCAATGTTTTTTTTTAAATAGAATTCTCAAACTAAGGATCTCAGTTAGTTAATGTACACTTAGTTAAGTATTATAAGCACCTGCTTATCAAGTTCAAAGTCAGGACAAAACGTTACTTGCTCTGTAAAATAATTTCAGAGCCAATACATTTCCTGGGGTTTAAATGCTAGCATCAGGGGCTGGCACAGGTTTTGAGGTTCATTAACAGTTCTTTGTGAAGTGATTTTTAAGACAGCCTCAGATAAAGTGCATTAGTGTCAGCACAAGGCTCAGGGCAAAGGATTCTGCTAACTACAAAGGGGGACATCAACAGAAACTGAAATGTTCAGAATCAAGAACTAGTGAATGACATACTGTAAGATGTCTGAACATGAACGAATAGTATACAGACAAAAATATGATTATGTAAGCATGTGTGTATACAGCATATATAGTATACGTCAAAACTCCCTAAACGTCCACACACAGGGGAGATGGAGGAAGAGATCTGTAGAGGGAATGACAAAACAATCTGCCACTTGAGGACACAGAAGGTTTGGGAAGAACAGTGAAAGGTGTTTGTCCACTCATCATAGACTTTGTGAGAGTAGATTCTGATATCTTACGAGATCTAGCTCTAAGACGAGAAGATGATAATGCTGTTGTCAGGTGGTAGCGCTGCTGTCATGAGAACATAAGAAAGGCTACAAACAGAAGGAGTTCATTCAACCCATCTGGCTCATTTTGCAGTTAGTAGCTTATTGATCCCAACAGCTGCATTAACCAATGTCTGCATTAAGTGGTCTATAACGTCCCCTTAACGCTATACCTTTAGAAAGTTTTCTGTCCAGTCTGATACATACACTATAGATTCAGACACCCTTGATTCCTCTACCTTTAGCTCCTGATTGAGAAACGCTTTTGAGTTTCTTAACCTAAAAACTCTTTGATATATACATGCATATTCTTTCTACAGCTCCTCCTCTTCCTTCCTGTCTCTCGGGAACAGTGACTACCAACCCATGGTACATTTACCACCAGCATTTTTAATTAACCATGTTTCGGTGATCCGAATTATGTCCTGATTGCCGGTTAATATACAGTAGCAGCTTGTAATGACTCTGTTTGGTTTTGAATGCTCCTTGTATTTATATATACGAATTGAATTATCTGTACCTTTGTTTTGTTTTCCCCTTGGGTTCTCTTTATATGTTTGCTTCCCGTGCGACCCCCTTTTTATATGCTCTATGGCTTCACTCCCTGTCCTTTCTGTTTAATCCATTGTGTGTTTAGATAATATAAAGCAACTGTTCCTTTGTTCAGTTGCTAGAGAATGTGCATGCATTGAAAGAGGTCTTTTTAAAATACCCCAGACTTTGAATATTAGTCCGTCCTGATGCCTCAGCAGTCTTATTGCCACTGGTTCCTTTTGGAAGACTGTTGCTACTTTGCGGGAGTTTTCATTACTCATTCATTTCCCCACTGAAGTTGAAGAAGGCAATCCTGAAGTGACAAAGGGATTTGTCTCAAGCCCCTGACAGGGTTTGACAGGGCCTGACAGTATGGGTTGAAATACAGCTAGCAATGAACTCTAGTCTTACTTATAATACTAAATAATTCCTCACAATAAAATAGGATCTTTCAATGCGCTTTAAAGGGGACCTACTTCATCCACCAAAAGAACGCTCACAAAGGAATTCTTAAAAGTAAATAAATACACACCGTTACAAGTTCAGACATTCAAGTGTTTCAATTAAAGCTGCTTAGAGCAAGGCTTCAATCCATCTACAGTACTGCCTCTAGGGACCCATGGTCATCAGTTATACAGCCAACCACCTGAGCTCCGTGCTCGACTCCATTGGCTGCACCAAAAACTGCAGAAATAGTCATGGGATCCTGGTTCTGGACATCTCTACGCCAGAGCCTGCAGAATTCGCCTCAGAGTCTGCGGCTCCTTGCGTCCGCGGGGGATTCACAGCAAAGCCACAGGCAAGGACCCCCTTTCTAAGGCTTAACAAGTCCCTGCCAGTCTCGTACAGTACATACTGAAAATAGTCACAAAATTCTGCCACCAGGACCTCACGGGCTCTGGTGCCTTTGGGGCCTAAAGACCTTCCTCCAACCCTGTTGCTGACCTTCAGGCTACCCGGCTCGGCCTCCAGCAAGTAGAAGGGGTGCTCTGAGTCTGGTCTTCGCCCGGTCCCCCAATGCATTGGCTCCCTGTCACTTCTAGAACGTTCCCCCGTGTGTCCGCGCTCTCACAGGGCGGCTGTGGGCCCTTGACGTGAGAGAGCGGCCTGGCTTTTGCTGCGTGGCCGGATCACCTCTCTGCGCTCTCTCTGGAGGAAGAAGAGCCACCTTCTTCAGGAAGGACCTCTTTCCATCAAAATGGCAGGGCTTCCAAGATGTCTCACACAACACAAGGCATAATATTTTGCAGGTGTGTGGCCTGAGACGCCAATGTGGTTCGTGACAACATCCAAACCAGGCTGGTTTGGGAGTTGGGAGGTTTGGGAGGTTGGACTTTGTGACTTTGGGAGGTTGGAAACACAAACGTGCTAAAAACTGGATGACCTTACAAACTTCAGACAAAAGGTGCTGGGGGCTGAAATCGAACCCAGGACCCAAGACCTGTGAGGCAGCAGTGCCACTCATCTTTGTTATTAAGTATATTTCCAGTTTAATTTTATTCATCACTTCTTTAACTCCAACCTGTTACTTAACATCGACTGTACATTCCATTCATGATCTGTAATGTTGTTTTTAAACTGGTGAAAGAGCTGCAGGAAAAGTCTTCTGCATAGTGTAGAACATTGCAGATTGGTTTTAAAAGTAGAACAGCAACACTTTTAAATTTCAGGGTTAGAAAGAATCAGCATTGCTAAGTATGTTTCAAACTACAATAAAAGTAAAATGTACTCAGTAATTTGTAAAAGCTCCAATCTACACCACAAAACGGAAAACATTTCCAGGTATGGACAGCGCCATGATCTCCAATTCAGAACTTGGCAACATAACTTTCAGTGACGTGAAGCAGCCGGGGAGACCAGGCTCATGGGGACTTACAGTACTTTCACAAAGTTCACGATGTTGTGCTTAATTTGTGCGAAATTGTAATATATTTTTTTTCCGTACCATCAATTAATTTAGTTTGTGACCGAGATTTCATATCGTTCTGAGAAATTGGGACTGCATTTCCCATTCAATTTTTAAAAAAAAAACATCTGATCCGCATGGAACGAGTAGAGTTCAGTAATTGAAAAAAACTTTTCCATACAAGAAGAGTGTAAGATGCAAACTGCTCAAGCCTTCCGGATGTTTAAGCAAAATATTTTGGATTATTAAACTAAATACATATAAAGCTACACTGTACCCAGTTGAAAGGTTAATGTTTACCCACACATTTGTTATGGTTATGTGCTGAGGCTGCAGAAATGACATGTTGCTCTGCGTCTGGACTTTTTCCTTCACATCAGTGATCCCCTAGATGCTGCGAAAGGGAATTCCAAATCCAAGAAGGCGAGGAATATTTGAGCAGAATCAGAGACGGAGTAGCTATCAAGGAAATTGAGCTGCCCCATCGATTTCGTGGAGAATAAACAAACGTGCAAAAGTTTTCTCCAGTGCTAAATGTGTAAAACTCAAGGGATGCTCGAAACTTGACCAGTTTTTCTTTTTTCTTTTGTCGGACCCTCCTTGTCCCGTTGGCCCCCTTACTCACCCGCTCCACATTCACCCACGCACTCACAACCACAGACATTAATTAAGGTTTTATTAAATATGGACACAGAGATAACGCTTATGGAGAATACAGCAGATCCCCTTGCTTTTAGAGTAATTTAAGGTTGCTTGACAGCAGGGGAGTTCTGTCGGGATGGCGCAGTCCTACCCTTAGTCACATGGCTGGGTCGCAAGTCTGTGGAGAAACAGGACCACGCAGCAACCGGGACTGAGAACACGGAGCAGTGGCTGAAGTATAAAATTAATTACAATAATAATTAAACCATAGCCTGCCCTTAAACATGCGAAAAACAACACATTGGCGTTGATTTCTATAAGGGTTAGAAAAATGTTAAGGTCTGAACACATCAGATTTAAAGTTTATGAGGACTTCCTAGAAAACAGCGCACTTCGCTTGCAGTGAGGATGGTTTCAGAGGCGAAGCGAGCTTGTTATAAATTCAAGCTTCAATCTGTTTAAAAAATGCATTCGTCAAAAATCACAGCGCTGTCATGTTTAACTTCGTAGTATACTGCATGTGATTATATGTATTCTGTATATAGTTTTTTTTTCCTTCACTATCGACAAATGTCAGTTCTGTATACCGCTGTTGGATAACAGAAAAGCGCACAAAAGCACCGACACAAGTGGACTGGAGACCTAAAATATTTTAATTCAAAGTGAGAAGAATAGTTGTGACTTTATCACTAATGTCTGGAGTTGTATCTAAAGAGAAGGTGTGCGGCGCCAATTCTCTCTTCGTCCGCCTTTCCCAATTTTGACTGAAGAAGAAGTGTTTCGCTGAAGGAGTCGGGAGACAGGAATCGCATTTATAGCGCTCCTTCCTATACAGTAGGATACCCCGATTGCAGTGCCCCGGCATTTTGTGTGTCGTTCGGGGGGTAATTTTGTAAAGTGCACGGACAGGAGTTTCTCTCTCTCTTCAAGGGTGCCTTGTGCTGACTAATAAACCGGACATCCGACTGTAAGTTTGAACATCAATTCCAGTTACCGACGGGCAAAAGGAGATGGCTGCCGTGGCAACAGTATCGCTCACTCTTCTCATCCTCGCCGTGACAAGTAAGTAAAATAAACGAATAATGAACCGCGGAGAGGACGTAGTCAAATATAACGTTGTCTCCTAAAAATAAGGCGTAACATTCTGCACGTACATACTATAGTTCATATAAAAGGTTTCTATGCAGAACCGATATCAGAACATTTATTTGCTTTGCTGGATGGATTATTTTTGTTGTGGGGAAAAAAACAATTCTTTCGGACATCGTGTAGAAGACGCATTTCAATTACTTGCTTAGGTCATTATGCCTTTCAGTTTTGTCCGGTGGACAGTTTATAAAACTTTACTCTTACGATTCAAAATCTTTATATTTGTTTTAGACTTATGGTCTTTAGATATGTTTATACTACATAGAAATGCTAGGTAAATGGTACATTGCGTTATGTGTAGCGTGTAATTGTTTTTAGTGTTTGCAAAGCAGGTGTGTGTCAAGTTTTCATAGGGGTGATTGATTAGTTTTGTGGTTTCCCTTGGACTGACAGTTTAACTGGACCTTATCTACTGCAGAAAAATCTGTCTTGCAAATGCTATGTGACTACGACTGAATTGTACTTAATTGCTTGAATTCTGTATTTATTCTATAGTTTTTTGTTTTTGTAAATAACAAAGCATGGTAATTTCAGACTTAATGAAGGCACAACTCTGGCCTTCAATTTGAGCGTCTCATATGTCGTAGACTGAAAACTGGTGGGTTAATTGCAAGTGGTTTGTAGAAGTAATTCATTTAAAACAATGTAACCACATGGCTGGCCGGGCAGGTTTTAATACGATTTTGGTTTGGAATTGATCATGTGACTTACCATAAGTCCCTGTTGAAATGGGTCTGTATCTTAATATGAGATCACCGCCGTAAACACCATGCAGGCGCGTAATGCTTACAATTGCCCGTTGAAGTGGAGATAAAGATGAGAATGTAAGATGCTATATACAGAGATGAAAGTGTTATTGTATTTTTGTTTAGTAGGAACATGCCTCTCAGATGTGGGGAAAAAGTACGCCTTCATTTTCATTCCATTTGACTAAAATGTTTATTTTTTAACTTTATTAAAAAAAAACCGTGGGGAGTCCATCAGTTTCTTAAACATACAGTATAATCAGTAAAATATGTCACCTTTGTGTATTTGTCTATCAATTTTTCTAGCGGGATGGTAAACGAAATCCAGAATATATAGACTTTTGTCTGTTTTAATATCACGTTACCTTAATGTGTAATCTGGAATTTATGAAATTATCGGGCCCATTCTGACAGCAAGATCTAGGAAGCACTGTGCTCACTCAGCATGTCTCATGGATGTGCATTGAACATTATTGATTTTCTACCCAGTGAACTATGGAACCTTTGCATCATACATATATTGATTAACGAGACAGCTTCGAAGATCCCTTACAAAAAATAAACAGCGGAACTAAGTGAAAAGTCTGTAATGTGGTCTATAGTTAATTTTCCTCTAACCTCTTTCATATATTTTTGTTTACTTTTTAAAAAGGGTCCATGTTTTGCAAAATTTTCTCTGTCAATTTTTATATGTCTACACACATCAAAAATGAGATTGGCTCTGTAATTTGCATATTGTATCTAAGCTTATTTAAAATGGAATTAATAAAATTCATGAAGAAGCCCTATCTTTATTTTAGCATGCATTTAGGGATTACCAGGGACTGTAGCTAGGATTGTGTTAGCAGTAAGTCTAAAAGGTGTAGCTGCAAATTTATGTCATTTATATAATTTATGTTTTTATTTTTGTGTTTAAACATCATGCACAAACCTATACACACATGAACTGCTGACAGTGAAGACTGACGGTCACCATTTTAAGTGTAGTATCTGTACCTTCACCAAGTACTGCAAGTGCAGTTTACAAGTTATAAAATAATAAGGTCACCTTTTAATGCCCCATTCCCAACCATTCTACATGGCTGAAGTCATGTTAAAATTTATGTACTATAAATATATGATCACTTACAACTTGGTAATAACTATCAATGTACAGTATATTAAATCTTTTTTATTATTTTGGATACCCTCCATGTTGCACTTTCACTCATATATTGGCCTACATTAGAAAATAATTCTAAGTACAATTTTGACATATACTTCAGTCAGTAGCTCTGACTCTCTTTGGGAATGTAAGTGTTACAGGTGAGGGGAAGATATATCAGCACTTGGAAGTTAGCACAGTATGTTAGACTGGAATGAAAAAAGGTAAAACATAAACTATGTGATAGCTAGATAGAGTTGTAATCAATTTATCTGCATTTGAGGCCCAGACTCCAAACTCTAAATAGGACAAATGTGTGCTTTTTGTAGATTTACAGTACATCTGACTTTTTCAAAGGTTAAATCTTTGTAGCATAGTATTTAAAGTTTTTACATTTCAGTACTACTGTAGGGTGAAGTAGCTGTATGTTGTTTTTTATCTTATATATTATTTTCAGGGGTCATTTCTTAAAGTGGAATTTTTTGGGAGATCCACAATAAGTGAAATAGATACAGTATCCCTTCTCATGATCTGGGCAGCCTTGACTTTTGTAGGTTTTTAAAATGCTATCCAAGTTGGGATTCAGGCATTTAAGTTGTGGTGTGCTGCCCATCTATTTCTACAAAAATGAGGCTACCGAGTGCCCTACAGAACATGCCTTCCAACATCTTTCATTTCTTGATTTCCTGTTTGGTAAAAGAGGTTTTGCTTGCAGTATTTTCTAATTAAAGCCCTGACTATTAAATGTGTACAAGGATTTTTTATTGCTAAAGCCTTTGCAGCTAAAAGATGCACAAAAGTAAACCTTTGCAACAAACCTTTTCTAACTTTTTTTTTGTTTCTCTCAAATCAAACACACTTTATTGCCTAAATGTTTGGAGTCAGCCTTCTCAAATATTGTAAGATTTAATGTAAGTGCAATAATGATTTTTAATAGGGATGGCAACACAGAGGATTTTAAATAAATATTATAAAAATCTCTACATTTATTATTTTTCATGCTATATGAGGAAAGTCAGCACTACAATATTAAGCAAATCCATGAGTCTGAATGTTTTATATTGCTGTATCTCACTGTGCCGAGCCCATGTTCTGCAGGGTGAGCTAGAGGACATTAGAAAGTTATCTAAAGCACAGTTAATGCAGATATTTAAAACAGCTGAGGCTGTTTTTGTTGAAAAGAATGGGGTTAAAAGGAAGCTACTGCAGAGGGTAGTTATCTTATTACTTTATAAAGAGAACATTTTTGTAGCGAAAACCGTTTTTACAATATATAAAATAAAAACATCAAACTTTTCTGTCTCAATGGTTTTGAGCACAACTTATATTTCTGATATGTACTTATTTGTATTTTAGTTTGGAAGATTTGAACATCTCACTTTGGTGACTGTTGTTTTTGAATCCATCTGAAAGAGTCTGCAGGTTAAAAGAAGATATCTGCAAAGGGCTAAATTATTCAGGTGCTGAAGTGCACTTTGGTGCAGATTTAGTTATTGTCTTGCTGTGCGTGTTGAATGTGGTGTTTAGTGAGTGGGACTTCAGGATGTAGTATGTGGGTGAGGTGTACTTTTTCTGGTGTGTGCTGTCTGGTACTTTGTAACAGAATGTGTCTGAAATGTTGTCACCTTATTTATTTTATATGTTTTGACTCAAAATCCAGTTTTGCTCGGATCAGTTATGTAGAAGATAATGGTAACTGATATGGGAAATAATGCTTAATTACGGCTCTTTGACAGTTGCCTGGAAACATCTAATTTGATTTGATAAAATTTGCTTTTTAACCCCTGTTAACCTCCATAAAGGTCCATCAATGGAACCCACAAGCAGTGCTCTCAAGCATGTGGGAAAAAGAGCTCAGCTTGCATCTCAATATATGTTATTGCCATAAATCTCTTAATTGTGAAATGTCAGGATGAAAACCAAGATATAATATCCTAGCCATTTTCACAAGTTAGGTTAGATGGGAAGATTCAGATAGGGTCCAGAAATGGGACACGTGGTAACAGAAATTAAATATTAATAAACTTAATTTTTCATTTGGGCATAAAGGTCAGAAACATAGAGGATAATACTATATTGCTCTCAGCAACCAGACAATGCACAGAAACAATAAAAAGACAAAACACAATGTTTGTTTGCATTGCATAGAGTGAACAAAGCAAGTTAAGACATATTATGTGGGTACTGGACAATAAGGTAATTAGACCACATCTGGAGTTCAGTATACAATTGTGGTTTCCTACTTTACAAATGGGATGAAAAAGTGTTGAAGAAAGTTCAGAGAAGATCAATAAGACTCATTGCAGGGCTTAAGGGATGGGTTATGAAGACATGCTGAGGGAAACTGAAATATGTTCTGTCAAAATATAGCAGAGGGGATCTGAGTGCGATTATGAGAATGTAAATTCATAAGCTGGATCTCAGTTTCTAGTTCCAGTTAAATTCAGTGAGGTGTTAACAAGAACAGAAATGCGAAGGACACATTCCCTTTTGCTGTCTATATATTTTTAAAATATTGCTTGACCTCAGAGAGCCTCTTGTTATTGTGTTTATTATTTTAAACCAATATCTTATATAAAGTAAGTTCTGCAATAGTGGCACACTGTGGCACACTGACCGGTACATTGAGAGATTGGTGCCTGACATTCCAGCTGAGTTCCAACTCTTTCCCTACTTAAAAATGTAGTGACTCATACGCTAATCTGCAGCTCATTCAAAGTCATGATGCACTATGTAGAAAAGTTCAGAGGCTGCTTAGGAAAAATTAAAAAACTAAGGAGGAAACGGAATGGGACTTAAAATGTCTTTAGGTGTCTGCAAAGCCTTTAATTCATGGATATAACATGGTACATATTGAAAGAGAAAGGGAATATATCATATAATAGATATCACAAAACAGATGTCTTTTGACTGAAGCTTTTAATGATTTGGTTAGCATTATATTTTTTCTGTGGATAAAACACATTTTTTAGTCCAACCAATAGATGGCCAATAAATGTCAGTAACCAAGGATACAAGGCACT